TTTTTTTTTTTTTTTTTTTTTTTTTAATTTTATAAGCATGTGTTATTGACTACCTACAATGGATCCAACTTTATTAAGTAGAAAAGCATAATGAAAATGGGTTTGCAAATCCTCATAAGTCTCTCCATGCCAAGATTTTGATCGATCTTTCTATGATTTTTTTGTCCCCTAATCATAAGATGTTTATATTTATTAATTAATGATACATTACTTGGTGAATGAATGTGTATCAGAATGCAATTTATATAATAAAAATTAGTGAATGGGAATCATAGTTGGGACCTCATGTTCTACCTGCCTCTTTAAATTAAATGAAGGAGAGTTGTTTTAGGGTTTAGGGTTTTACTTTACCAAATATTCCTAATTCACGTAACCACTTACCGTCTCTAAGGTTTTTAACTCTCTTTCAACTTATTCTCATTCTCATTCTCCTCAAAATGCTCCTTTTATTGGATACATATACAAGTCTGCTTATTAGGTTTATGCACACATAAAAAACTGAGCAGAGAAGTACCATGCGTCCGACCCTATATTAAAAAAAAAAAAAAAAAAAAATACTAAGAATCTTTATGAATAGCATGTCCCATCAGATATAAAGCATGTCACATGTGTTTGCATTTCTCGACCCTAACAATATAGTCATTTATGGAGTGTTTTTAAATACTCATCCTATGTCTATCATTTTTCTAAGTAAGGCACGAGTCTTATGTACCGGATGAAAATAATAGTGGAGACCACCATAAAATGAAGGCACACTAATTAGTTTTCTATATTTAGGTCATAGTTCCATTGTTATGATAGATTAGTAGCATTTTCATCTTTAAAAGTTGATTGGGAGTTATTATTTCTTGTGACCATTTTTTAAATGAAATGTTTTAAGTAGTTTTTTTTTTCACATAATAATCATGACATGACATGCACGTAATAATGATCTTATTTAAAAATAAAAAAAATTGGATCATTACAACAAAATAATTTTTTAATTTAGTCTAATGATGGAAAGAAAATAGTATCATAAAACTTTCAATTTTAACTTATTTTCCGTAAATAATCACTAAATTTAAATGTTTGAGTTAACACGATCAAGCGAAATTAAATGTAGTTCACTAGACATAGACATAAATTATCATACAGATATAAAAAATTTGCAGGTTGAATTAAACCAAAAAAAAAAAAAAAATCTTTTTATCCTTTGCAATTTTTCATTTTATTTTTCACTATTTAAAATTATTTTCTTAGCTAAATTTTATATAAAATAATTGAAAACTCTCTAAATAAATGTTTTAAAGTTTGGTTAGATTTATTTATTTATTTATTGTCTATTCTTTTAGATTGTTATATAGAAATTACATCATAATAAACTATTTTTAAAAAAATGAAAAAGAGCAAGTTTATTAATATTAGTCTTTCAATACCTTCAAGATTCCAACTTTACCTTAATTTTAAAAATTATTCATTAGGTATTTCAAATTTTAATTTTGGGTAAAATAAATCCTTTATTTATTACATTATTAAATCTAAAATCTATTCCAATTTTTTTAAAATTAAGAATCCATTAGACACTAAATTAATTGTTTAAAATTTTATTAGACATTAAATTTAAATTTATATCAAATATATCGATTAATTTTTAAAAAATTCAAATATTTTAGAAACATATTAAACACAAAAGTTTAAAGACATTAGAGGTCCTGCACAGAAGGATCTAATAAATATAAAATTGATAGTTTAAAAATTTAACGACCCTAGATTTTTTATAATCTAAAGTCGCTACTGCATAACATATTTATTTGTACGAAAATAATCATTTGAAACTTCAACATAAAACATTGTCATGAGAAAACGTCTTCAAAACGACATAACAAATTTCTAAATAAAATCAATAAACATTAAGGATGAAACCACCCTATTCTAACTTAAGTCTAAGAAAATAAATACACTTCATCGTCATGTGTAATGGTCTCGATTTGCGATGCTGTCATCAACGAGAATGTTTTGTCTTTACCTGAAATAGAAGTAACACATGACTTGAGTATTTTAAGAAATACTCAGTAAGTGACCACACACGACCCACACGTGTGAGTATAGGATCACTAGTCAGTTCGCACACCTCCTAGACCCTTTTCTTGGTTAGACGAGCATTCTCAGGAGTTGTTGATGTTGGACACCCATTAGGTATAGCGACCATCGTAGCATTATGATAAACATAATGTTAGTTTTCCTGTCTCGTAACGTATGTGCCCGTACCATCATAATAAGGGGACATTCTCTGATGTATGAACGCATAATGATGCATGAGGTTCCAACATGTACATTCATTATCATGTAAAACAACTCCCTCTTGTTTTTCTTCATATCTTATCATTTTATATCCTTTAAGACATGTATCGGGGTCGAATCTCGTATCGTTCATAACATACATAGTCTTATGTCATATTATGTACATAACATATCTTTCGACATATCATATCTTATAATGCACTTATCATATCATAAAACTTGTCACAACATATTGTAGTCACATCATTTCATAATCGTATCATAGTCACATCATTTCATAAACATATTATAGTCATATCATTTTATAAACATATCATAGTCATATTATTTCATAAATATATCATAGTCCTATCGTTTCACAAACATATCATAGTCATATCGTTTCATAAACATATCATTCATATCAAGCATATGACACGTGCAAAACCATGAGGTACGTGTCATCATACAAACCATATCGATAGTAAGGTTACCTACTTACTTGGTTGTTGCTTCTGAGCTATGATTCCAACGCTCAATTCTCACCTATATCAATTCAAATAGCATATACAGGGCATGTTAACATTTTAGGTTAACTAAAACATGACGATTATTTGTAACATAAGCCCTAAAACTAATTAAACTGGGCAAACAGAAGTCTTACTGACCTCAAATGTCTTAAATAAGGTCAAAAGTAACTTCGAGAGGACTTGAAACTTATGAAATGGTATGTAATAGATTTTTTTTTTATACCGAGCTGCCTAACCTAAGAAGTTGAGCTAACCAAGCCACGAAGCTAAGCCAAGAATCATTGAGTTGAGCTGAGAATTGCTGAGTCGAGTCGAGAGGAGCTGCGACTGGAAGGTGGTCACGTGTCCGGTACGTGTGGCGCTGAAGGCGCAGGTTATCGCTTGAGTCGGGCGTGAGTGTCGACTTGTCGCGCGGTTCAGACTTCCCGCATACGTCTGGGCTAAGTGGACAAGGTTTTTGGGTTGACTTGATTTAGGCCATGGGTAAGCTGAATCTGACCCGACTTGGTGGATCCTTTCTTCTCCACCTGGGTGCACACAATTTTCTTCAAATTTCTCTATGCTCTCGAGCGTGTTTGTTGGTCGTTTTCTCATTGCGTTCTTTCCAGATCTAAGTTATATTGCTTCTCTAGTCGCTCCCTCATTGTCCAAGGTCGTATAATGCTCTAAACAATTTGGGTTCAGAAAAATGAACTCAACCCAACCCAAAATGCTAATTCAACCTGACCCAACCCCTATAATTCGGATTGGGTTAATCTAAATTATCGGGTTGAATGTACACCCCTAGTCGGAGTCACCTTTTGAAGAAAACAGTTCGTCTTTTCCTTACTTATCTGTGTGTGTAATTCTTTTCTCTCTTGCACACGCGCTGTGGAAGACATACTACCGAGGTGGTTTCATAGGTCAGTCAGGTGGGCACAAAAATTCTGGTGCCTCACCGAAATTGCATATTTTCTAGCGATCAATTTTTTTTCTTTAGAATCCTTAGAAAAAATATATAATTTAAAATTCAAGGATTTTTCTATTAATGTTTCACGAAAAAAAGAAAAATTATTATGGATATTTAGAAAGAGAGCCCCACCTTTTATGTTATTTATTAGAATGAAAGTGAGTTGGTCCATAAGAGGATATGAAAGGAAAAGAAGTTTTTATTTGATGCATCAACCTAACCTAACCTAACATGTCAATGTTTACACCAAAACCCATAAAAATATGTGTTAAGACCCTCCATTCTACCTTTTTCACAAATCATTCATCCATCAATATCATAACCATTCTCTGTTTAATAGATATTTGCAAAAGTAATTAGGAGTGTATCGAACCAAAAATGGGCGGTCCAACCTATTTATCATGTTCTAACCCACAAGTGGCTATCTATGTCCATCCTAGCACTGTTGTCTATACATTGGTCATGAGCCAAACGCCAACTGATCGTGGCGAATCTGCAATCGCTTAAAGTACTTTTGTGGAATGCAACTCTATTTGCGGTGGATCGATCGCATGCATTGTATAGGTGATGACGTCGATGGGGTGGTAACTTGGTTCAGACGTCTGGGAAGGGGTGGTAATTTTTTTTTTTTTTAATAGAACCAATATTTACTTGGAATTACATCACTGTCTAACAAAATAAACTATTAAGATATCTTATAAGGGTAGAGGTGGTAGTACATTCTTCTCACCTTAAAAACTTTCGTCCTTCTAAATGACCAGTCTTAAAAAAGCTTTAAATATTTAGTTCTCATTTTTTCTTTTCGTACTTAGGTTGATTTTGCCGAAGAACATTCACATACCTATTTTTTTTTAACAGTGAATATTCCTCACATCTCTTACAAGAATTCACTTTGGTTTCTCTTCATAACTCAAGGTCTCACTTATACGTAAGGGTTCAAAGTGAATTTTATGGGAGGATTTGTGTGGACCGTTGATAGAAAAAGTGGTATGTCAAATGATAAGCTACAAGATCAATCAAATCCAGACAT